TTTGTACCATATTTCTCTTTACCAGCTTTTTGAGAATTAAGAAATGTTTCAATTAACTCTGGACAATCTAAGTTTTCTTCTGGTTCCCAAGTATTGTCAGCATCTGTAAATCCCTTCCACTTCAGGAAATATTCCACCTTCCCATTCATTACGCGTTGGTCCAGTGCTTTTTCCACCACTAATTCTTCAGGCTCTGCCTTTTCAACTTTTTTACTCTTTCCATTCTGTTTCTTACCCATTTTTTTGCAGTGTAGTTTTATTGGAGGCCTTTTTTTTTTTTGGAAAAGGTAGACTTTTAATAACTGCTTTTATCGCCAGGGTGAGTCATGCAGTTACAAAGTAGTTAGAAATTTCTGAAAGGGTATTATTGTTTAAAAATAAAAAGCTCATTCTTACATAAATATCATCTAGTACTTCATTGGGACACTACTGTTTAAAAGGCCCTGGCCAAATAACTCCCAAACAAAACATTTGACTTGAAGAGTTCATGGCTCCAAGCTGCTCCGTGTTGCAGGTCTGCGGCATCTCCGGCCTTATGTGCCTCAAGCTTAGTCGTTTGTTTTAATGCGGAGATCTATAGTGCTGATATGATATCATTAAACATTTCCACTGCCTCCCAGTATACTATACTGGGTGTTCTGTTTAACTTTCCCTTGACTGCCAGAGGCAGCCCTTGCGAGGCTCACAAAAGACTAGTGGTTTAGTTTTCCAGTTATCTATTTGATATTTATTTCCCTGTCCTGTAGAGTATAATCTTTTCAAGTGTTTTTGGTTGAATGAAAGCTTTATTTGTTCTAATGTTTTAAGCTTACAATAGTCTTCTACTTTGGTATTTCTTTTTAGATTGAAAAGCAATGCTGAGAAATAAAGCTGTCCTCTTCTGATTTGGATATTGATGATGGGTATTGGAAAGTCTAAAATAGATGCCTGCCCTCTTTCTCTCTCTCGGGGCAAAAGCCACAGTGTGGATACAATTCAAAGACATCATGAGTCAGAGTCCAGGAAACCTGAAGCTATCTCCTTGAGTGATGTTGCTGATTGTAGCAAAACAGCAGAGGAGCCAACAGGAGTGCCAGAGGGAGCTCAGGGAGTGGAAATGATGCCTGAAGAGGAAGCAGAAGAGATACCTGAAGAGGAAGCAGAAGAGGAGGTGTTCCTCAAATTTGTTATATTGCATGCAGAAGATGATACAGATGAAGCCCTCAGGGTCCAGAATCTGCTACAAAATGACTTTGGTATCAAACCTGGAATAATCTTTGCAGAGATGCCATGTGGCAGACAGCATTTACAAAATTTAGATGATGCTGTAAATGGGTCTGCGTGGACAATCTTATTATTGACTGAAAACTTTTTAAGAGATACCTGGTGTAATTTCCAGTTCTATACGTCCTTAATAAACTCAGTTAACAGGCAGCACAAATACAACTCTGTGATCCCCATGCGGCCCCTGAACAACCCCCTTCCCCGGGAAAGGACCCCCTTTGCTCTACAATCCATCAATGCCTTAGAGGAAGAAAGTCGTGGCTTTCCTACACAAGTAGAAAGAATTTTTCAGGAGTCTGTGTATAAGACACAACAAATGATATGGAAAAAGACAAGAAATGTGGAATAAAGACAATTTATTGTCTGACATGAAACACATGACACATGACTAGCTCCTGTTTTTATAAACCAAATGATTACTCTTCTTTGGAGAAAACAATTTTTAGGAAAGTTTTGTACAAACATGAGATGGGTGTGAATGTCAGATGAGGTGTATGTGGAGGAGTGGGGCCTAACGAAGGACATTTGGAGAAGGGATACGGAGGTAGAGCATTGACGGGATGGGGAGGTGTGGTGTTATCTGTTGAAAATATTTTGATCAATGGGACTGGGGAGAAATGTTCACATATTGAAATGCTCACATTGTAAGCTAAACAATGCGATTGAATGTATATACAAAAATAAATTAATTAAAAAATAATTTTAAAAAAGAGAGAGCCTATTCATACAGAAATCCAGAGAGCACAAGAATAATAAATTTCTGGGAACCAGCAGTTAGCATAATGGCTAGGTCGCTGGACTCCCACGTAGTCGACCGCGGTTCGTGTCCCGGACCCGGTGGCTTAAAACTCACGCTGGGCGCGTGTGTGTGCGTGCCCAAGATCCCGAGAGGAGAATGGAGGAGAAGGGATTGCGGCGTGACCATCCCCCCTGGGGGGTGATTTCTCGCTTTCTGTCTCTATGTCTCTCTCTGTCTGTCTGGCAAGCGCACGCGCCCTACAGTGAAAATCTCTCAAAAAAAAAAAAAGAATAATAAATTTCTGTAGAGCAATCTAGAGAATTTGGGGGCCTTTAGATGGTTCTACAAACTCAAGATTGTCAGAGTTTCAAGAACTTTTCTGTCATGGTTTCTCCAGTTCACAGATAGGACAGAGGCTATTCTCAACTCATATTCTTTGCATTGAACCTTGGACAAAAGCTGGTATGACAGATATTTTTAAAATGTGATGGCGTAACCAATAACCTTTCTTTGGGCAGGCTTTAGAAAGTGTCCTCTGTACACAGTGTGCTACTCAGAAAACACTTCTCGTTCAGGACTTCAGAGTAACTGACTCTCTGACTCACTTCACATGTGTTGTGGATTATTTTTTAAAAGCTTGGGATAAAAGTAGGAGATACATTTTCTCACATCTCTTCTAGTGCCCTATGTTCATAACAAGCTAGAGACGCCTCATACAGACCTGTTCCTTTCTTTATAGGCTTCCTGCTCAACTGAGATAGTGCAGTACCATCAAATACAGGTTGGGACAGGGTGGAAAATGAGTACTATCATACCACAATGAGAAAAGCACCCACTGGAGGTCAGAAGGCCTGGTTCCAGTGCAGTCTCTGCTACTGAGGATGAGTGTGGCTGGAGGCCAGTCACTTACCCTCCTATATCTGTGAAATGAAAGGGTTGGATTGATGGATCTCTAAAGGCCTTTGTCTTCTCCCAAGATGTGAAAAAGAGGGTAAGGGAAAAATACAGAATTTTATAATGTGATATATAATAAATAGTTTCAAAAGGCCTATATTTGCTTACAATGAAAGGATGTTTTAATGCATTGATTTTTTAATGCTTTAATACTTTAAGACTTTTTTAATGATATTTTTTGTTATTTTTTTAGAGAGAGTTTTTACTATAGGGTACATGTGCTCGCCAGAGAGACAGAGACAGAAAGTGAGAAATCACTCCTAGGTGGCATGGTTATGCCATAATCCCTTTTCCTACATTCTCAGTTCAGGACACACACACACACACACACACACACACACTCAGTATGAGTTTTAAACCACCAGGTCAAGTACTTGAACTACGTGGGAGTCCACCAACGTAATCATTACCCCATCTGCTGATCCCACCCCTTTATACTCTTCAAGTCACATTATACTGCTTACACAGTTTTTTTTTTTTCCCTTTTTTATACATTTTTTTGTAGGGTCCCTGGAGCAAAGGCATTATGCCTGACTTGCCTTTGTCCTTATTCCCACTTCTCTGGATTCCCTAGTAGAACTGAGGTCTGGTCATATCTTTTTACACTTCACAGCTCATGGCCACAAACCAAAATGTTCCAATATGCCAGTCAGTCAAAACCGCCTACTCTCCTAGTACTTTTTAGAAGAGGTGATTGTTGACATTGTGTGGTGATGTTTTTTTTCTTAATCTTGTCTCTTTCTGTTATGGTAGTAACATACTCATTTTTATTTTTCAGTTCTAGTAAGTATTCATTTTTTTTTTACCATAAATGCTTCTTGTATCTCAATTTTCATACACTAATAAAACATTAACTATGCACCCTTTTATGACAGCCAAATGTGAGGTGATTGATGTTGGATACTACTTCTTAAATTTTTTTTACTCTTTACCTTTGACAATATTTAATTATTTCTTTTTCTTTTTTTACATTTTCCAGCATATCTTTATTTCTAATAATAATTTGCTTATTTGAATCATAATCCAAATGTGTTCTTTGTATACCAATGGGATTTTTAAAAAACTTTTTGCTATAGAGAGTGTGCATTCTCGGGGAGAGAGGAGAGAGAGAGAAAGAGAGAGAGAAGAAAATGAGATCCCCCTCCCCTGCTCCAGGGAAGATGGTAATGCCACAATCCTTTCTCCTCTTCTAGTCTCCTCTTGAGATTTTGAGGATGCATGTACACACGTTCTGTATGTTTTTCCAGCCTCCAGGTTTGGGACTCAAAGAGCAAAGTCTGCTATGTGGGATCCACTGCCTTAACATGACACTGACTGGCCCATCAATAGGACCATTTTTGAAATGCTTTTTATCTTTAAGCCCCTGTTCTTTTCTGTTCTATTGCAGTCTTTTCAGGTTTAAGACAAACAAGGCTGATTCCTGAGCATTTTTTGTAGTCTGGATTCCCTTGGTGTCATTTGGTTGTTTTTCCTGTAAATTGGTGATTACCTGTAGGACCAGACTCAGTTTTTCTTGCTTTTTAAGGTTTTTGTCATAGGTTGTGGATGCTCATTGGAGAGAGATATAGACAGAGAGGAAAAGTGAGAAATTCTCTCCCAGGGGAATGGCCACATGGCAATCCCTTCTTCTCTTGGAATTTTGGGCTATATGCACACACACCTGGTGTGATTTCCAATCTGCCAGGTCTGGAACTCTAACCATGGTTGGCCATGTGCGAATCCAGTGCCTTAACCACCGTACCACCTGCTGGCCCACCGGTTTTATTTTTTGGTGTGAGTCCTTTGTAGGTGGTGGTGTGTTCTTTCATCACAGGTGTTTGACTTCCAGTTGCCTTTCTGTGATGTTGGCATCTCTCAGTGTTCAATATGCAGATCTGTTCATTTATTGAGGGTTGTCATATGAAAATTTATCAACTAGAATTTGAGAAACTTCCCCTTTTCAACTATATTTTTATCTTCAAGTACAGTTTATAAAACAAATTAGAAAAAAAATGTTTAATTTTATCAAGCATTTTGATATGCTTGGTGGCCTTTTTTTTTCCTCCAAAGTAATGAGTTAGTTTCTTAGCATCCTTAAAAGTCATAACATATTTTTCTGTTTTTCTATGCAAAAATGAGTTTTTCCTGAGGACCCTATATTTATGGTAGAGAATGAGCAAGAGAGAGAAAGCATCCTCAGCAGGGTCCTGTCATGCCCTAATTTCCTTAACTCAGTCCTTCAGTGGCTCAGTGTAAAGCCATCCACATGTGCCTTCCAGCACTGTGGTTCAGTCTATCACTGACTGTGCCATCGGGCTGGGCTGAAAGTTTTCTTACCTTATTTTCTTCTTGCATCATGATAAACTCCAGGATTTATGCATATATCACCTTGTCAATCTACTGCAGTTATATAAATTTTTTTTTTTACTTTTTTTAATACATTCAGTCACATTATTTAGCTTACAAGGTGATCATTTCAATATATGAACATTTCTCCCCGGTTGAGTTGATCAAAATATAACACTACCTCCCTGTCTCAACGATGCTGTCTTTGTATCCCTCCTCCAAATGTTCTTCCCCAGGCCTCACTCCTCCACACACACCACATCTGGCATTCACACCCATCTCTTGTGTTTGTACATCCTTTAGACCGTCAGTTTCAGTTGTAGAGTGTGGACATTCGGTATATATTAAGTGAGGACATACAGAGTCTCTCCTTCATAGCCTGGCTTGCTTCACTCAGCAGTAAATCTTCCATATTTGACTGTGGAAAATGTTTTATAAGTATCAAGCTATACTCCTCCATAGAACACCAGGCACAATATCTCACCCAATTTGGAGTTCAATACATTTTATTATGGACAAAGAAAAATGTTAAATGCTTAATAACTGTATGGGTTGAAATGAACAGGTATAACAAGGGACTATCAAAATAGCTAAACTGAAGATGAAAACGTGGCGGTATGAGCTTAGTCATGTTTGTGTGTATGTGTACCTAAGCGTGCACATGTAGACACAGATACACATACATGGAAATGTGCTAGATTATTCCACTTGCAAGTGATCTTCCATTCTGAGTAAGCTGTGGGCCTTATTGCCTACCCTGGAGCTTCTCGTGGAAGAATCTGAGTTGTGCCTCCTATAAAGGTAAAGATTTTAGCTGAGGAAAAACAAAAAACAAAAAACAAAACAGAAAGCCTAATGCCACATAGCTTAAACCATAAGGTTAAGTTATTATGTAATTTAATAAAATATGGTGGCTCAAAGGTATCAATAAAAACCCAGGTTCTTATATATAATGAGCATTATTCAGTTTTAAAAAAGAATAAAATTTTGATAAGTGCTATGACATGGATAAACCTTGAAACACTAAATAAAATAAGCTAGATACAAAATGACTAATATTGTATAATTCCACTTATACCATGAAAATTCATAGAGATAGAAAGAACAGAGGTTCCCAGGGTCAGGGAAAGACGAAGAGGGAGTTATTGTTTACTGGGTACAGAGTTTATATTTGGAGTGATGAACAAGTTCTGGAAATGAACAGTAGTGGTGGTGTACAGCACTGTGGAGATACTTAACTCTATTGAATTATACACATTACAATGGCTAGGGCCATTCCTGTAGCCTAGAAATTAAGGGAGCTGGTTACATGGCATTCTACAGTTCAAATCCCAGCTCCAGCAGCTTGAAAGCCACACTGAGGGGATGTGCATATGTTCCCAAAATGGGGAAGGGATTATGGTGTGACCATACTCCATTGGGGAGTGTTTTTTCTCTTTCTCTCTGTTTCTCTCTCTGATGAGCATACACACCCTCTGGCAATTAAAAAAATGGTTAAAGTAGAAAATTATATGCTATGTATGG